ATTCCTGTGTGTACGGAACTACCAAGTCAGCATTATTTTGAATAGGGCTGACACATCAACAATTTTCGACATAATTGATTTATTTTGATGTTTAATATAATTAAAATATTCAAATTATATGTAATTTGGACATATAATGTATCTCGTATATGAGCTTAAACTACGTAACTTAATTATGCGTTTATCAAGTGCCACTATACCCATGTTGAAATACTGTATCTCATTAAGAGGAGTAATTACATTAAATCACTCTAATATACCGCTTGTCTTGTTTGAAAACAAGAAAATTATTCATGCACGATAATTCGCCGCCTCAGGAGCAGCCCTATGAACGGCTTCATGTCTATCTTTTACCGCTAAGCCTAGGGCGGTAAACTCGGCTCATGTTTGATAGCGCCGCGCAAAGCGGGACAACAAGTGGGGAAACGCATGAGAGTGATAGGGATGCTCTCCGTCCTTAAATTTTATATTCTATCCGCATTTTGTCGCCTAAGCGTTCCATTTAGTGTTCCATATTTAAACCTCACGCCATTCTTTTTCCTTTCCCAACCGAGCAAAGATTGTAAGGCGATTTTCTATTTTTTCTTTTACTTTTTTCGGGGGTGTATCCAGGCAGCGCCGGATGTGTGCAGAATACTGATGTGTGCGTCAGACCGCCGACGCCCTGTTAGGGAATGAAATTGGCATATAAATGTAAATTTTATGCTATGAATTTTAAAATGAAGTCGATACTTCCGCGCTTACTGTGGAGCGAGTGAGCCGTTTTCGCAAGTTATACCTCGGGCAAGGATGAAATTAGATTAGAATACGCCACTTTCGGTAAAGAATGGGCTTTTAACGGCTTCTGTGAAACGGCTCTGTAATATAACTTAAGTATCACGTTCTTTCAAAATGCTCGTAAAGTTTTTATTGAATAGTTAAACAGGAATTAAAATTTGATATATTATCAATTCAAAAGATATAGACAATTTTTTTTTGTGTTATCATGCAATTTTAATAAAATACTTGTAAGTGTATATTTTAATTAATTAATTTGTAAAAATTTAAATCTCAATATTGGATTAACTTATAAAAAAAATATATTGCAATAAAAGTAACTTTTTTATCAGAACATAAGTTTTTCATTAATATTCCTATTACAATTTATAATATAAAAGAATTCATCTCAATATTGCTCTACGGAATATTACGAAGATGGAAGCCCAGAAGCGAACGAAAATAGAGAAATCAAAGAACAGGAAAAAATCCACTTTACAGACGCAAACAAGTCACTTTAACTTTATTGAGCTGTAATCGAATTGTGACGTCCCTGCGAGCCGCGGCGTGCACGAGGTCGGAGCGGCGGCATCTGTAGCCATCCTTATCTGACCCACCCATTTAAATCTATGCTATTCAATCGTGTCGTCTCGCTCGCATCCCAGGGGTGCCGCCAAGATTGCAATCTTTTGATTTATACCAACTATTAGGAGTGGTGCGGGATAGTCTGTCTCTTAGAACGAAATCCGGCGCGATAAACGTAAGATACGATCGACGTTAGTACTGATTATATAAATGAAATTACTTATAAGGATATTTTATCTTCATCCTTTATATTTGTATTAAATTGAAATATTCTATGATTATAGATAGGTATATATGTATGCATATACAAACGACAAGAAAAACTCATGCCGATTTTATTAAAGTTCTCCCTTTCCTATAAATATGACTTACATTAATTTGTATTTATGAGAATTTTAGGACGTTATATTTTGTAAATTCTCGAGTATTTATTTTCTATATCTTTAATATATCTATATATGAAATAATAGGTAAATATGTATAAATACTTATTATTTTAATCGACTAGTGGTGGGACGGCAAGCAGGGGTGTAGATATAATCGCAAGCTGGGCATTATTTCTATTTCTAAACCTTATACATATAAAAAGTTGTGGCCAGCGGCCGCGGTCCCTGATGGCCGCTTAGCCCCGGAAGGTCCGGGGAAATAAGGGGAAATCGTCCCTCATTTATATTGAACGAAAACCTTCGACTTTTTACGCTTATACGCTTCTGAGCTCTTGGTAACTCTCAAATGTGACAAAGACAAAAAGAGGTATGCTGATTTCTATTTTTTAACCTACTTCAAAAAAAGGAGGTTCTCAATTCAGTTGTACCTATATTTGTTATATTTGTTACCTCATAAATCCGTCAGTTCTTAACCGATTTGAAAAGCTCTTGTTTTTATATGACAGGATACACTTACAGCTTGATCCAATAGAAATTTTATCAAAATCGGTTTCGTAGTTTAGTTTTTAGATCAAAATAAATGGTATTGTCACAAATGAAGTTGGTTTTTTTTTATGGGAAACAATCTTTAATTAATGAAGTCGATTGATGAAAACACGGTTCGTCTATCTGTCAAGATATTAGGTAAGAGAGATTTTATTGTCGAGATTTGATCCACGTTTCTTTTCAATTTAACTGGTAGAACCTTCCCACAAGAGTATATATTGTATATATTATAACATAGCTGTGGCTAGGGGAGGGAGACATTGAGGGCAATACCCTATCTTGAAAGGCCCCAAGAAAATTAGACGGATTTCCTTTTTTGATGTTACTAAATTATGGTTTCTGTCCTACCTAAACTTGGATCTAGCACCGGCCATAATGACAAATATTGTTATTTATTTATTTTATTTATACTTTATTGTACATACTAATAATACATAAAAATATGACAGAGGTAAGCAAATGTACAAAGGCGAGTTTAACTCTACAAGAGTTCTTTTACAGTAAACCCAAAATGGGAAGAGCATTAATGTAAATATAGTAAATTATTAATTTGTTATATTATTATTAATTAAATAATTAAAATTATTTTTATCAGGGAAAGACTTTATACAAAAGTCTTCGGTTTAGGTACTTCTGTTCTACTCATGTCTCTTTCGTGAAACAGATGTGCTTAGATACATAGTTGTATTTTGATTTGAAGAGCAGGATACGGGAGTAATTACAGAATACCTAGTTACAGCATGATAGTCATAATCATGGTTACTACAATGTATTTTATCATGTCAATGATGCTATTGATATCTATAAGCGATGATTACCATTTTCTATTAAGTAGGCCGTTATCTTACGTTACGTTACAATGATATCCGCAAAAGAACCAAAGTAACCGACGTAGCCCGAAGGAAAGGTATGCTCAAATGGCAATAGGCTGGTCACATAGCTCGAAGAACCGACAACCGATGGAGAAGAAAGATTCTTGAGTGGCGACCCTGTGCGGGCAAACGCAGTGTAGGACGACACACCCTATTATATGGAGTGACGACCTCAAATGCATAGCAGGGAGTCAGTGTATGCAGGTGGCTCAGGACCGTCTTTTATGGCAGTCTATGGGAAAGATTTATGTCCAGGAGTGGACGAATAATGACTAAAATGATGGTGATGATGAGGCCGTTAGCTTGTATGTCAATCTGAGTGTCAATAAAAATTTAATGACAAGAAAAAGAACGCCAGTTCTCAAACAAAACTATTATTAGAGAAGTGTACTATAAACAACTAGAATACGGATACAAAGGGAATTAAGACGTTACGCGTGAAACCTGTCGCCTTAGGCCCTTTCGTCACATGCTAAATATATTTAATAACCATTGCATATGCGCGTTTTACAAAGGACTTATGCGTTTCGTTAACATCCGTAGCGAACTTAGACCTATAATTTCGTCCATATATTTGATATGCGTTTTCTGTCTGAAGTTCTGTCAATGTTTTTGAGCAAAAAAGCAATAAAATATGATTTTATAATAGTCCGTTACGCAAGTATTATGGTTTACAAATAAATTCAAAACGTTGTTCAGACATAGAATAAAAAGCGGAACTTATGTAGATACAGTATACAGATAGATTCTTAGTCTTACGTTTTATGTTGGGACAGAAATACCCGTGAATCAAAAAGTTGAAATCCAATCCAGTGTAGATCGGACTCGCGCAATGTGGCTTCGATACAAATAAAAAAAAAAAAATTCAAATTTATATATTTTTTTTGTAAAGTGACTACTAATTTACGGTTTTCGGATTTTTACCTTTATTCGTGTTGTGTGATCCGTGCTTTATGGGGAAGGCCTATGTTTAGCAGTGGACAGCCTTGGGTGGTTGCAATACTTTGTAGGCGGATTGGTAATCGCAGTTAGGCTTTGGAGATATTTTAATAGGGACGCTGCTGCCCACCCTTAGTCACCTCTTACGACTCACGGGAAAGGAAGGGATAGCCTATTCTATGCCGACTCTACACGGGGAATAAAAATAGATTTGCCACTGACATTTTTATTTCTAACATTCATGGATAGATTTTTGTTTTTTATTTTATTAAATATTGTTATTATCTATAATTTACGTCAATAAAACTAATTAATATTTTTATGGTCCTTAAAAACAGCAATATAATGTAATGAGATCTAGCAGTCTTATAATTAACAATCCTCTCGCCCGATAACAATGCTTCTTCTTAATGGGTGATAATGGTATACATCTGCGTTAATGGTATACACTGGCGGGGCACCAATGACGGATGATAGGTGAGGATGAAAAGGCAGGTCAGTTGGCCTATCGTGATAAATTGACCTGGGATTAAATATGATGGTCTCCAGGCGAGACCGCGAGGAGGTTGATCTAGTAGGGTATATCGCTAACAATGAGATTGCTAGTCCCCATTACTAACGATTTTATTTATTTATTTAAACTTTATTGACCAATGAAATGTGGTACAAAAGAGGGACTTAATGCTATAGGCATTCTCTACCAGTCAACCTTTAGGATGAGAAGAAATACTCGATGGCGATTTAAAAAATAAAATTCTTTATATTTTAGTATAGGATGGTAATCACATACATTCATAAAATAAATATAAATATTAATATAGTATTTACATATTAATGCCTACATATATATAGGTATACACACATGTACAATCCCTCCTCCCCTTAATAACAATACTAGGTAGTATACAATACTTACGGCAACTCTGCTCTCTTTCAGGTCGAGCCTCATGGCGAGTGCCTCTCTCATGAACACGTCGGGGTAGTGCGAGGCGAGGAACGCCCGCTCCAGTTCCTCCAGCTGCCACGAGTTGAAGTTGGTGCGCGACCGTCGCCGCTTGCCGCTGTCGCCGTCGTCGTCACCAACGCCACCTGGGGACGAACGGCGTTTCTGTTTAAACTTTATTACAAAACTAAAAAATTAGACAGATACACTCGTATGTGGTACTAGCGATCCAGTCCATCCATTTCATTCTTTAACATCATCATAAACGGGTAGATAGAATTTACGAAAATAATTATATATATCCCAAAATACCGATAAATGGCTGTTTGGTCCGGACATAAAATAGGCCACCCCTTCCTTTACCATGGATGTTGTAAAAGCCGACTAAGGGAGGAGCAGCGTCCCTTTTAAAACATCTGTAAAGCCTAACTGCGGTTGCCAATCCGCCTGCCAAGCGTGGCAACTACTGACAAAAGCTCCCAAGGGAAGACTTAGCAGCAGTGGAAAGGCTGATATGATGAATACTCGATAATAATGTAGCTTTCTATAGGTAAAAGACTTTAAAATCGATTGAGTAGTTTTTGAATTTATTCAATACAAGCAAACAAATAAATCTATACAAAGGCCATTTTCCAGATCCCTTAAGTTATACCAATCACCTGGTCCCCAAATTAAGAAAACTAATGTTCGATCGAGAATAAACCTTGGGACGTCATTTTTATTGGTCTGTGACATCATTTATGTTATCATGTTATTTTTTATGCTACTTAGAATGTCAAACAAACTGACGGACCATGTGATGGTAACTATTGTTATTATATATAGTCAACACTATATTGTTTTTCTTACATTGGTTCTTCTTTCATATACGTTACGCATTTTACGAAGTTAGCTGTACCTACCGTCAAAAAATCCTCGATAAAATATTCAGTAAGTACTAAGCACAACCGCAAAGTATGCAAAATATGGCGCACTCTAAATTAAATTGGTAAAGCTAAAACATTTTCCAATCACTAAACCGCAGGATTGAAATGAATAAGACATAACCATAAAAGACAGCGGCAGTGGCGGCAAAGTCAATTTAGACAATTCCTCGGCCGTTAAAACAAACCCGCGACCGGGGGCTCATAAAAAAGAGATAATCTCCGACAAAGCGTCAGAACAAGTTTTTGAAAATAGAATATAATTTCTAATTTTCTCTCGGTGATTTTAATTAAAAATGGTCCCGGGAGAACGAGACGGCTGGATACAGCCGAGTTTAGGGTTGGAGAGGGACGGCAATAAATTACTCGTTTTGGCCTCGGAGGGGCTAAATAAATTAGAAGTGATTAAGAGGAGCGCGCTTCTGTTGTACGTTGAACATGTCATTATTCGGGCAGTGTTATAATTTGGTAAAAGCGGGTTTAACTTAATTTGACAACAAAATATCGTGATTATTCTTGTTGACGTTGATGTATACTTATGTAGCATTAGAAAAATATAATTATAATAAATACTGGATAATAGAAAACATACAACAGTAAAATATAAGTGAAATACCTAAAATTGTAGAAAAAAGAATATAAAAATTTTGAGAAAATATTTAAAATGAAGCAAATTAAAAATTGCCATAAATATATGTTATTTGTAAAAACTAAAATGTACAAACCAATTTAGACTCTACACTGTTTTGTCACTTTCATTCAAACCAAGAATTTAGCATAAAAGAAAGAGACAACAGATCAATAGCTAAAATAGGCTTATGAAAGAAGGTTTGACGTTTTTCTAAATAAGGACACTTATCTATAGGCAACAATGTATACTTCTATAAAAGTTCTATAATTTTTTTTTTTTTTTATTAAATTGTTAAGCAAATTTAATATTTGTAACTTGATTTATAAAATTAATCGTAAACTACTTAACGTATTTATTCTAAGTAACCATCAGTCATAGACTAATGAGGACTAGACTAGATTTACGTTTTGTGGCCAGAACGTTACATTGTCGCCTTAAGGGAAAACGCCAAATTGAGCGAGTGTGAATGAGACAACAATACATACCTAATGAAAAGAGAGAAAGAGATGAGTACGGTTATTGTATTAAAACAAACGACCGCCTTGGGCCCGCAGACAACAGTTTTGGCGCGCTTTAATTTAGTCTCCTCAATGTTTTAATGTCGTTGGGGAGTGAGGGGGGGAGGGAGTTACTAAGTATCTATTTGAGGGTTGTATAACGTGGCTAATAAATTTGTGCAGTTTATAATTCTGTTGCTCTAATGTTTTCATATGATGAAAACAATTCATCCACGGAAATTCCATCTGCATTTTGTCTTTCTGGAGTAATCTCATGGCGTTTTCCAGACGCGAATGTAAAAGAATGCGAGTTTGTATTTGAGATTAAAAAGAAGAAGTAAACCTTTTTCTTCTTTCTCTTTTCAAAGAAGAGCAGATTCAAGTCTCTAGAACTCGAGGCACGTTATGAATGCGAATATGAATAAGATGAACTAATGTAATTATGTAGAGGCCCTTGCCTTCCGATTCTTACTACTTACTCCGTAAGGAACTTGGCGTGAATGTAGACATATCACAGAGGGATATTTAGTTAAGTACAAACTCTTTTGTATGTTTGTACCTTGGTACAAACATACAAAAGTATTTGTTTGTTTATTTGTTACTTTTTGATAGCTTAACAGCTATGTCTGGTACACATAAACTAATGGCCCTAATTCATAAAAACTTAAACGTTCTACAAACCTATTGTATATTAGTGTGTTATGTCGCTGTCTTTCAAATTGAGAAATTAGCGCAAAATAAAAAGACAAAACACTTCCAAAAATAAAATAGTAAAAAATATACCTATAGACGTATTTAGAATCCACTTCTTTCGGATGTCGCTTAAAAATGAATTTCTTAAATTAATTGCCGTGTTAATTAACTGTTAAAAAACATTTTATACGATATTTTATATTTATTACAAAAAAGTCGTACAACTATATTTTCATTGATATTATCTTAATTGATCATTGTTTTATATGATGTATTCACAGGTTAGGCAAATTTTTTTGCTGCAAAATTATTACATTATTACGTCTTGTTGTGGAAGTAACAAGCAGTAATATATTAACCCCTTTATTAGTAGAACTTAAAACGTCATATAGATCTATTTTAACTATTAGAGTGTTTTGACGCTGTCTTTCAAATTGAGAAATTAGCGCAAAAGAAAAAGACAAAACACTTCCAAAACTAAAATAGGGTTATGAAGGGTTTGACGTTTTTATAAATAAGGACGTAAGTATATAAGATGGAAAGAGGCATAAGCTACTTTTATCCTGGTCAATGAACATATCCCGGTCATGCGGATGAATCTGCGGGCAAAAGCTAATAAAAGTTCGTATTCCAACCACATAATGTGTTTTTGGGGGAAAGGGATTGTTAGTAATGGAGACTGAGAATCCCATTGCTAGTAATATACCCAACCAGGTCGACGGCGGTTCTCCCTGGAAACTATCATGGTTAATTCCTGATGAATTCATCACGATGGGCTAACTGGCCTGTTTTCATTCTCATCTATCACCCTTCACTCGTGCTCCGCCAGCGTATCCCGTTAGCGCAGGCGGGGTTACCTTACATTTTCACCCATAAAAAAAAAACCATATAATGTTTAGAATGCGAATAGGTAGTTTAGTCATCGTATGATAATTTTGCTTGTTATTTCTCTATCGTTCGTTTCAACTCGCCTAATATTTCAATTAAAGAAGATGACAACATTTATATTCCAATTTAAATATATTTAACATTGATTAATTTATTTAAATATGTGGAACAGGTTATCGTTCTTAACCGCTTTATTAGTTACATTTACAGCGCTTTTTGTAAATGGACATGATTAAAAATAATAATAGGTAATTGGAATAATATTGCAAACTTTTAGTTAGATTGATTATAATTTTTTTAAACACTATTTGCCAGGTATATGTTGGTAAGAGTATTATAGATTAAGGATAGTAAAAAGAATTCTCTTTCTACGGTACGTATACATACCGCATATCCTTGATCTATGCTATACGTACTCATCTATTTACCTATGTATATTTGATATTTGAACAGTAGATCTAAGAATAATTTGCAGTAGATAGAATTGAAGTTAGAAAGAGACGAATGCAAGATACAAGAATAAAAACAAGATCATTATAGACATAGATTAAGAATAGTACCTGCGGTTATAGAGGTACTTAATTATGGTGGAGTGGACGTTAATTTTTGTTATGATGACCCTAATAATAATTGCAAATACGTTACTTTTTTAAAACTTTCTGTAACATAGTTCTGTAGTTATACCATCGAGAAACCATAGAGCAAGCTCCCCTACAAAGCATAGACAAGATAGACGATAATATTTTTATTTTATTCATAGACAATCCCCGACATCGCCGTCGCCAGCCAGAATTAAATGATTCTATTCAATAAAAGCGTTTCTATTTACGATGGCTTTTATATTTCTATTATAAGAGTAGGTAAGTGGGATCGATATGGCGGCAGGCGGTGGACTTCCTTGTGAATTATAGATAATTTATAGCTTATATTCGTCGAGATACTATCTTTATTAACGTTGTCAGATTGCAATTTTATTAAGGATAGAATTGGTTATTCATTTATTAATTTTGTACTAGGCACTGTGTTGGTGGTGCGTTAGAAATTGGGGTTACAGTTACATCACAGTTCGAAGACTTTTTGTTATAATTTCATTGATGTTGATGAAATTGTGTACCTTTTGTTTTTTTTTTTTTTACAATAAAAAAATTAAATAATAAAACATTACATTAGAATAAACCATGAACAAACTTAGGTCTTTATTCGACTTGTAGACAATTATTTAATTTAATTACTCACACAAAAATCTTAAAAGCTTACAGTTAATTATATTTTTATAATGTATGATACATACTCATAATAATAAGTATGCTCTCGTTACAACCAGTGTAATGAAATTATGAGCAATCAAAACACCGTATTCGATTATAATTCCATTATTCCAAGAATCAATAATAATTCGGCAATCGGGGGGCGGACTCGGGTGTAAAATTGGATAAATTCTGAATATAACGTACCGTTGTAAGTACTAGTGATGTATCGGAAAGTAGTAATCGTATCTGAGAAAATTTTTAGCG